AGAGAGAGAGTTCCACATTCGTGTGTACTTAGATGTATTCTCCAGATTGTCCTGTCAAAAGGTGGCTATTTCTAGCCCTGTTGATCTTCATTGCTATTGGGGGGGGTGGGGGAAAAACTGATGTTCTCAAGTAGACATGTCCCTGTCTTGCTGAACTTTTGAAGGCCTTACACTTAACTTGATCGCACTTCTGTATGCAATGCAATAACTTGGACAGCACATCCAATCAATTCCAAAATTTCAGGAAATGTTCCAGGCATCAATGGCCCAACTGATCTGAAGGAAAACAAATGCGGGGGAGAGCCTACCATTTGTTTAGCATAGCCAAAGCCTCAAGTACCTCTGCAACTGTCTACAGCGTCAAGTAACTGGCTGGTGGCACCCATTAATGCTTTCCATCATAACAATACCCCTCCTCATCCTCCAATATAATTTAACATGTTGATGCGCTAATGATTTATCTCCCAGGCAAATAGGGGAATAGGGGTGTGCATACCTCTCCTGGTATAGGGAATGTGGGAAGCTTGTATGGAGGAAGGTGGGAATGAAAGGCAGACAGAACCCCTGGTGGGGAGATTAGGGACCCTAGAATGGGAAAAGGGAGCACACAGAGCTGCTTGTGGGGGTGGGGTAAGGGGAATGGAGGGCATGGGGATGTGGAAATAAGCAAAGAAATGCTGCCATTCAGGGGAAATGGGGGGGGATGGACCACACAACCCCCGGTTAAGGGGAGATTACCGGGAGATGCAGAGACTGTCTGAAATGGAGGGGGATGGGAGGGGTGGTAAACCAAGAGCTTATTGGGGGGCGGGGGGGGGGAGAAATGTGTGTGCTGTGAGCTCCGCCTACTGAAGCTAGGAAGGGTGACTCCCTAGTAATCTGATGGCTCTATATAATCCTCCTAATGGTGGCTACCTTCTAGAAAATGAGTTTATAATTCATGCTGCTTTTAGGCCCCTACTAATCTCGGTGGGGCAACAATCATGCCCGTTACCTCCGAGAAGCGTGCACATTAGAAAAGCAAAAATCGGTGGTTAAGGGTGGGCCAAAGGAGACAGACACCCCTTAGTGACCGCTCCCTACCAGGGTCCCTCTTTTCTTCCCACGGCCCCACTGGTAGATATTTAAATCCTCTGTGTGGAGAAGTCCGGAACTGCTGCCCTGGCATTGTCCTGCTGTCTAAGCCGGGCATGGTCCTCCTTTCAAATTCTTAGGCATTTCAGGAAGTAGCCTTGCTAAGGCGTGTTTAAAGCCCGGCCTTCTCTCAAGCCCGAGAGTGCAAAATATAAATAACCCATGAACAACTGATCTGACAAGACCGCTCCGCTCTGGTTCAATCCAATGCCAGGACACCTGGAGCCTCTTTGGGCTGAAGCCTGTTCTGTCTCGGCCATGATCTGTACAGCATCAAGCGCAGAGATTGACCAGGGGAGCTGTGACCAGGGAGAAGAAGGGAGGGGACGTCTGAATTACCCCCCCCCCCCCACACACACACACACCCCTACCTTTAGCATCGTGCCGTGGGTGTGGCCGCTGGAGAGCTGCGGTCGGGCTGCAGAACGGGGTGGGTTCAGGCGCGCGTTCTTCATCCGCTGGCTCACGCTCCGGCTTCCCAGACAGGAGCGCAGCTACTGCAGGCTTGGACCGCGTGGTTGGTCGGTTGGTTTTTAAAAGCAGCCTCTCTCTGCTCAGATACTTTCACCCATCTGGGGCAAACTGCTTACTGGGCGGGTGGTTCTGGGTAAAGCAAAGCTGCTTGCCGGCGCCCCTTTAGGCAGCCGAGTCAGCCCCGCATTTCACCCACTTGGCGTGGAGCAGCCAGATCCCACCGACAAGCATTAGTCGAGGCCGGCGCCTGATGCAGCTGAGTTTCCTGGCTTCGATTCATTTCAATGCTCCACCAAGTAGCTTAGCTCACTGAATTCCCCCTCGGCACCTTCTCTTCAAGAGCAGAGGTCAGTGGGGGCGGAAAGAAAAGAACCAGTGGGCGACTTCTGCACACTGGAGTAAGTGCACGTGGGGGCGGTGGAATCCATTTTAGGTTAGGAGCAACTACTGGTATCTGGGGCTTGATTGTTCACTGCGCGGTGCAGAGTAACTCCAGCGTAAGCCTCCGGCTGCTGGCCCCAGGCCCACTCTAGTGGGGAGGGTTCCTCCAGGCCGTTTAAATAAGATCGGAGACAGCTGGCTCAGGGGCAGAGCACGGAAAACATGGACCTGGGCAGCCGCTCTGCTGGGCTTCATTACAGAGCAGCTGGGGGGATTTTTTTTTATGAAACATTTAGCTCAGAAAATGCCCAGTGGTGGAAACCAGCCCATTTTCATAATCTATCTGTCTTGACAGATGTCAGGAAAGATCGAGGATGGCATTTCTGGTCAAAACCAGGGAGTGAGCAAACACAGCCCCTCCAACAGCCAAGAGGGACTCGAATCTGGGCCTCCTAGATCCAAGTCTCTGCCTCCATTCGGGCAGAGGAGGGACTTAAACCTGGGCCTCCCAGGTCAGGGGCCAGTGCAGAAGGAAAACCACCTCTGAAAGCTTTGGATTCTTGTTTGCCCCCCAGCCCTACTATATGAATCCTAGACTGCAGCCACAAACGCGGCAAGCGGGCTTCAAAGACCCAGCGCAATGCAGCGGGTGTGTTGCGGTGCTCTGCAAACTGGACCGGGGCATCCCTGATCTTCACTTCCCCTGATCTGGTTCTTTCCAATAACTAAGCCACCTATAAAGATACATTCCTGGTGAAAGCTCACGCACGATAACCTAGTGTATAACAAACAGCAGGAGTGATGTGCAGGGACTCCTTTCCTTCAGCTCCCCATGTATGAACTCGAGCCCTGTGTACGCGCAGTACAGACCTGGGAGCCAGGAACCACCCTGAACTCCTCTCCAGACAGTGACACCGACAGTCTGTCAACTTGGACTGAGTCATGTTACCCTCCGGCCTCAATTTCCCCATATACAATATCGGGTGTGGTGGGGATTGATCAGACAGCGGAAGTTGGAAAGCACTATACAAATGCTAAATTCAGTGCTTTGTTATATCTTCATGATGGTGGGCGGGTACTCATGCAAACCGTTTTATAAACTCCACAGCTAGATTGGCCCGTTAAAAGACGCGTCTGTCAGTGCGTCGCTGCCAGCTGAACTTATCCCGTGCATTTCTAAAGGTTGCAATTTCTTTCACTGTAAGAATTATCCCTAATTCTTGTAAATGACGCTTAGCAGTGGAAAGAATGTGGCTTAGTGTTGAGACTTCTACCGGCTCCTAAATTACCTTAGCATCTCTCCCCCTTTTCCTCCCCCGCCCCAAAAGAAAAATCGGTTTGCAAAGTCTGTTCAGCCTTCAATTCATGGATGACTTTCTAGGAATCGTTTAGGTCTCCACCGTTCCCAAACCCCCAGCTCTGGATCTGTCTTAAACCACAGACTATCGGTTATTAGAAAGGGACCTTTTCGCGTGTGTGTGTGTGAGAGAGAGAGAGACACAGCGAGATTAAACACCCCGTTCCCCTCCATTGAAACTCCTCACAGTGTGGAGTCGTTGTGACTGGGAATAATCTACAGGGGATGAAAATATGAACGGAGCCGGTCATATTCATTCTCCTTTTTACCACTGGTCCTGCCGTCTGTCCCGCGGGTGAGCATTTATTTCCGTCAGACCCTATAGTCTGTTGGAGAAACTGGACAGCTGATAATTCTGCGAGCCCTATGGTCTGGGCCTGAGCCATCCTGTGACCTACCTTCTGTGCCCTCGTTGCCTGTGGGATGCTGCCCACTGCAGCAAACTGGAGACTTCACGTCTTCAGGGACCCCTACACAGCGGCCAAGATGGCTGCACTGAACGCAACAGCGCCGTGGATTCGCTCTTCCAGTGTAGCCTGTCTTCCGCGGCGTTTTACGAGGCCGCTCCGGGCTTAGGTCGCTGCTGCGGGACCCCGAAGCCGGCCTCGCTGCGTAACGCGGAGCTGGCGCGCCATCAAGCGCGCACGGGGTGGCTGCTGTTCTGGGGACAGTGAGAAGTGACTACCCGGAGAGAGCTGTGGTTCACGAAAGCTCATGCTCAAATAAATTGGTTAGTCTCTAAGGTGCCACAAGTACTCCTTTTCTTTTTGCGAATACAGACTAACACGGCTGTTCCTCTGAAACCCGGAGAGGAGACTCTCTAAAACCTCCCGAGCGCCGCCTCGAGGAACTCCTCTGCCCCTGAAGGGGCACTGCCCATGCGAACCCTCCGTATTTCCAAATGAGATCAGCCCCTGTAACCTGTGCTGGGCATCTTTGATTGACCAGCTGTACTTGATGAGGTTGTAAATGTTTAAATCTCTGTCACTGGGTAGAAAAACCCACCTATACCCCAAGGGAACCGAGCTAGCTGCGCAAGGGGGGAGCCTTGGCCCTTCCCCTTGGCCGGCTCTTAGAGGAGACCCCCCGCAGCACAGGAGCTATTGGGCTGGGGCTCCCGCATGCCCGCCCAAAGGGGCAGCTCCATGCCGGAGTTCCAGCGTGGGGAGGGGGCGCTCCCCGAGCCCCTAGGCCAGGCAGCAGCGCCCTCTGCCAGCCGTAAGCCGAGCCCTTCCCCCGGAGCACCTCGCCTCCCACGTCTCCTCTGCCCCGGGACAGGCGCCCTACCGGAGAGGGGGCCTGTCCCTCGGCCCCCTTATTAGAAAAATTCCGGTTGCGCCCCTTGGGGGGGGGGTGAAGAGTGGAACTTGCTGTACCCAGGTAATGTCAAAACGCACCAAGGGAAAACTGGAGTATGGGGGGGCGGGGGTTACGCGGATCGCTTTTATTACATAGACATGTCAGCCGCTATTTCAATCACAGACACGATGCCGGGGTCTCTCTAAAGGGCTGTAGAAAGCCTTTTGCCGTGGAATTAAAAGAACTGCATTGTTACCACGTGTTCGGGGGCTTTTCCTGTAGCCAGGAGGGCAGGGCTGCTGTTGAACAACGATTCAGTTGGAATGGGGGGGGGCGGAGGATCTTTATTAATTCAGTATTAACCCCCGCCCCTCCATTACAGCGGTCCTCCCTCGAGCCGGGCGGGAGGCGCAGGGGTGGAAATGGATGTCCCGCAGAAGAACGAACGCCTCCCGCATTGGCCAGCGCTCCTGCGTTTACTGGGGGGTGCTTAACCTACGCAGCGCTGGGTCGGGGGGTGTCTTCCCCCTTTAGAGCAGGGGGTCAGTAAAGCCCCTGCTGGCTGGCGGGCGCACCCCGGGCAGCGCAGAGCTGCTGGCCAGGCTCCACCCTACCGCCACTCGGCCCAGCGCTGAGGATCCGGGGCTGGGTTCTGCAGCCAGCCCGCTCCTGCACTTGTGAGAGCTCTGCCCGACAGAGGGCTGAAGGATCGGCCCATCCAGCTCTTCGAGGCTGGGATTCCCCCTCCTCCCCAGGACCCGTAAGTGCCTCGACTCTGCTTTTATCCCCCGACAACCCCCGGGCACTCTCGCTTTACTGCGTCTTCCCCCCGCCTTCGGCTGCACAGCGGCTCCTTCCTTTGCTGCCTCCCGCCCCTCCGAGCGTGCAGGCTCCAGCGATGTTCCTGGATGCTCTGACAGTCCCGTGATAGGGGGGCAGCCAACCGGGCTACCTTCTCCGCCCCCTTTTCGGGGCGGCCCTGGCTGGCTGGCCCCGCCTCTTCCTCCCCCTCCACCCCCGGATTTCTACATCCATTCGCTGATTTCTACAGCCAAAGCTAAAACGGAACGTCAAGCTAGCCACGTGGGAGGGCTTTGAAAGGAGAAGCTTCTGCGCCATTGATTCCCTTTGTCAGCGAGTAGGGAGCCTGAGACTGTGAGAGCAGTAAAGACCCCGAGAAGAGCCTATGGGGATCTTGAATCTGTATGAGGTGCACACTGCTGTTAATGTAAAGGGGTTAGCAGAGCCTTGCTGGGCCTGGAAAATGGAGACGGATTTGCTTTAGAAGAGCTGGGATCAGTGGTTTTTGTTTTTTAAAATGAGGAATATGTTTAAATACATGTTGACTCTTCTCTAGGACTTTTCAGACTGAAGTAACACACCTTTCTTGAAGATGATGACAAATGGCCATGCAGATCCTGCTTTTCCAGTCTCTGTGTGGAGGCAGCAAGGACATGTGGGTGAAATCCTGGCCCTTTTGAAGCCAGTGGCAAAACTCCCAGTGACTTCAGTAAGGCCAGGATTTCACCCAGACATGCCAGATGTATACAAAGATATTTGCAAGATATCCTAAAACATTCTGTAGACAGACTGCTCATCATCCATGGTTTCATTGGGAACAGAAGCAGGGAGTTATGCTGCAACGTTTGAGTCAATTTTCCAGGGAGAGAATTGCTATGACAATCAAACGTGTCTTCCTTGCTCATCACAGGTTTATGAAAAGAGGGACTGGAGTCAGATTTTCCAGGTATGACTTTGCCTAGAGTGTGATCTAGACACACAGGGCAAAATCGCATACATGCATAACTCCCCTCCCAACTCCGCCAGGATAATTTTGAACCAGTTGACCTATATGGATATACACACTACATCTAACTGATTCAGCAGTATCCTTGACCCTCTTCACTGTCCGTGTCTACAAATGCAAAGTCGCATCAAATGAAACCCTAGTCCCCCTTAGGCACACTCCTGTGTACTTTTCCCCCCCTCCAGAGTAAATTTGGCTACTCTCACGTTACTTTCAAATTCCATGGAAAAATTCCATTCACTTCAGTGGCGGCAAGATCTAGCCCAAAGATTACCCCAGTTGCTTAATTCGGAAATAGGTTTTTATTCTCCCCCCGCTCCCACTAATGTCCTGACTAAGTATAGATACATAGAGTTAAACTTTAATATAGATCGTTATTAAACCTATAGTGTGACACTCCGACGTGCTCCCAGAAGAACCGGCGTATAATTTCCGCGGAGCTCGTATACGAAGTCCTGGCCCCACTGAAGTCAATAGGAGGTTTTCCACTGATTCCAGTGAGGCCAGGATTTCACCTATAACTGCTTGTAGAGGCGCCTTTGATGTACGTGCTGCGCCATTCATAGAATGAGGTGCGTTTAATCTGGAAAAGTACTCAGGTCTCCACCCCTTCTGGGTAATAAAGGCACTCCTAATACACGCATGCGCCCTCCCCTTTTGTCAAAACGGTGTAATCATTCCTAGGCACCGCAACCCACAGCTCTTTGAGATTCATATGAAGCTCCCCTCCCTAGAGGGCTCTACATGCTGTCGGGGAGTTCATACTACAGCACATTCATAGCAAGACAAAGGCTTGTGCTGACTTCTGTATCCTGTGAGGGAGGGCTGGGACAATGTGACTTCAGGGCATTGCACCTGATGGACCTTTGCACCTGCACACTTAATAGTTTTTTGCACCATGTGAGGAAACGCGAGCGGAGTCCGATCCTACAAGGTGCTGAACGCCCCCCAACTCCCTTAACTTTAAGAGGGGTTGCGGGCGCTCATCACCTTGCAAGATTGGGCCCTGGGTGGCCTGATTTTGAATAGTGCTCTCATCTCCCATACCGAGCAACGGGGACGGTAGCGGACGAGCACTTTGCGAGATCAGCCCCTTCCAGCTGAGCCCTTTTTCTTTTCTTTTCTTTTCTTTTCTTTAAAGTAACCTCCAGTCCTGGGTTTTTCTCCGTAGGGTTCCGCGGTTTAAACTGCCGCTGAACAGTGGGGACGGAAGGACCTGAATGAGTTAAGTAGCGCTCGAGTATCCAAAATGCTTTCAGGATTTTCTTGCTGTGAGAACTTGGAGCAAAGGATGACCGTGAAAGTCTTGCCGGAGTTACAACTGAGGAAGCTGCACGCGCGTTGCCGTGTGCGGTGGCGTTCCCTAGCGCCTCGACTGCAGAATAAGATCCCGAGTTGCCAATGGGCATTGTTCTAATTGTTTTGTTTTCCGGGGAGTTGTCGGAAAACTGAAATAAAGTTTCTTAGACATGGATCCAAAACGGTGTAGTGCCGCCTATTCCTAACCTAGAATTCAAACACAGCCCCAATTGCCGTTATGGGGAACTATTTTTCATTTTGGCAATCTGCATGGGTAGCATGGTACACTACATTTTTTTAAAAAAGCAGAAGCAAGAAAACTCTGCTAAGTTTGGCATCACTTCAATACTCTGAGAATGTAATAGATATAGGTATAAAGTATTACAGGTGTATGTGTTATCTTTATCTTTAATATTTAAGAATTATACATGACGTTTTAAATCCACAGAGTGGCACTGATACCAAGTCTGGTAGAATTTTCTTGCTTCTCTGAAGTGTTTTATCCACGCAAATTGCCAGACGAACTCCATTTTCCATATTAGTGATTTTTTTTTAAAATCTACTATTGAAATACACATGGTGTTCAATTTGACATTTTATAAGCTTTCTGACAACCTATCTCTAACATAACCTCAACTAATAAATATTGAATTTTATATTAGAAAGTTTAACAACATTGAGAGACAAGGTGGGTGAGGGAATATTTTGTACTGGACCAATTTATATGTGAGCTCCAAAGCTTGTCTCTTGACCATCAGAAGGTCCAATAAAAATATTCCCTCATCTCTCTAACATCCTGCGACCAACCTAGGACACTAGTGCAAACATAAAATAACCATCACTTTAGATTCTCTGATTAACCCACTTTAATATTTTGCACGTGAATAATAACCGCTACTTAATCAGCTTAAGCAGTACTGAATGGGAAGCAGAAGCGATACACAAACATATTTATAAACTGTTCTTTCATTGATGTCCTTTTGGGGGGGAAAGCTGGTGTGCAGATAGCAATAATAACGAACATTCACACGCTCTTCAGCTGTTGTATTGGATGTCCCTGTTGCTTGTACCCATTGCTTATTTGCGGATTTTAAAAACAAAACGCCGTAATAATGGTCCCAATCCTGGTTCCATTAAAATTAATGGCAAAGCGCCTATTGATTTCATAATAGGAATATTTTCTAGAGATACACGTTCACATTGCTAGTATAAAATTCATAATTTGGAAAGGTTTCTGAATCTGAGTGTATTTTCAGAGTTTCCCTCCTGGTAGGAATTGGAATGGGATAATTAATGTGGGTGTATGCCTCGAAAGTAAAATTAGACGGGAAAAGTTCCTCATAGTGTGAGGGATCTAATTTAAAATAATCTAAATTAAAATATCGGAATGCAGATCTGTCTGTTCTAGTACTGTTATGAATAAAAGCATTACTCTGTGATTTAGCATTGATCTATCACTTAGATCACTACAGAAACCAATAAGTCAACTTGCCTATTTTGAATCCTGTTATGAGAGGGGTCTAATACCAATCACAAAAACCACACTAGTTTATCTAAGAATTTAATATGCTGAATACAACATTTTCCCCTCCTCTCCCCACTGTGATGATCTACAATATACTCTCCCGCTGCTTCATCTGCCCAGGGAGACTCTCTTGGTGGATAATAAGGAATATAAAGGTCCTTTACCCCATATTGTGAGGTTTTTATAATTTGGGGGTTTTAATCTAAAAACCAGACACCAGAATCCTCCCAGTCCAGTTATTTAAAATAACTGTACACAAACACCTCTCTAATGTTCGTGTGCATATATCTCCCTTCGATCTAATTGGAAGTAGTAGCTGTGCTGGGAAATTATGTAGCATTATTGCTGCCTTCGTGAAGGGTTTAATGGGAATGGAATCAGGCTGCCTACACGACTATGGGATTCTTTCCATTGCTGTTAACAGGGAATTAGATCAAGCTCATGGTCCTGCCTGCTTTCTGGAAAGGTACCCCATTCCGTTCGGTTATAAGGTGGATAAATCCCAGACAACACACTCACTGGAGGAAAAAGCAGGCATGCCCCCAAGAGTGCTACCAGCTGGTGGCTGCAGGCAGGCAGGATGCCTCCTCCATACAGTGCAACCTTACCGACCCTTTTACCGTGAAATCTTCTCTTGGAGCAACTTCACTGTAACAGGAAGAATAATCTGTTTGCCTGCTCGCTATAAAAGGAATCTGACTGTATGCAAGTTGAGTATCAAGCTGGTCCTCCAGAAGTGGGTTCTCTCTCTCTACACGCTTTACAGTTTGACTGGAACCAAGGAGACCGGCTGTTTTCTACCACAGCCTGTGAACCGTCCATCCCAGGCAGCGCAGTCCCAGCGAGAGAACCACAAGGCTGCAGCTGCCTGGAGGATGGGTCACCGGATGCCGTAGAAAAACCTGGGGTGAAATCCTGGCTCCACTGAAGTTAACAGGAAAATTTCCATTGACTTCAGCGGGGCAAGCATTTAATGAGGCCCCTGTGGCTGAGCTGTTAGCCCCGCAGACAGCTGGCCACACGCCCGTGCCCTATGCCTGGGGCGGAGCGGCACCCCTTGCAGGCTGGGCGCGGAGGTAGCTGACCACTTGCTGATGCCCGCTCTCGACAGCTAGGTCAATGGGGAGGCGGCCCCATGTGTCCCGCAGATCCAAGCGAGCCCCGCCTCGGTGCAGCGCCACAAGGGTGTCCAGGAAACCTTCTCGCGCCGCATCGTGCACTGGGAGGGAGCCGGTGCGCGGGTCCGGCCGGTTGGGATCCGCTCCTCTCTGCAGCAGCAGCTCCGCCACCTGGGTGTTTCCCATCATCATGACCTGGGAGGGAGAAGCCGTCAGTCAGCCTTGATCGATTTAGGGTTCGGTCTTGCTCTCTTAGCAAGAATCTCGTTTGGTCTAATGGGAATGTTATCTGAGTTAAGGTCAGAGTCTGAGCCGCATTACGCTCTCTAGGCGTTACTCTGGATTTACACCGGCGTAATGGAGACCAGAATCTGGTCGCTTGACTTTGGAATTACATCTGTGTTCCAAGGACGTAAATCTTCAGGGTGATATCTGGACCCCGTAGATGTCCATGACAGAACTGACAGAACAGTAGGGCAGGCTTTCTAAGGTTTTGTATATTTAGCTACTTGCATACGGTGCATAGCTCTTGAACTACATAAATACATATTTCAAATGAGTATGTATTCTGATAATATTTTTCTGTAAACTTCATCTTAAACACTGAAAAAGGTAAACATTAAAAAGAGTTTACCCAGTGCAAATCAAGAGCATATGTACCAAATACAAGCCCCCTCGCTCAGTAGCGATGTTTTTTGACTGCACTCATTTTTATATTTGATAAAAAATAAAACTCGCCATCACATTTATCAAGTCAATTTACGCAGACATGACCTTCATTTACAAGTGGTGAATGAGAGATGAACAGTTCTTTGAAAAATTTCCTCTGTGCAGTGAACTAGGAAAATGTACTAGAAAACTAATTCATAATAAAATTAACTGACTAGAAGAAAAGACTTTCATTTGACAGATTTCCATTGTAAATTAATGCGCAAAGAAAGGGCGGCAGAGCTGGAGGGGAAGTTTTGTCTTTGTTTTAAATCATAAAAGGAAATCCAAAATAACTCTTGACCTGGGTTTAATATACTTGATTGATTCTGCAGCATACTTAAATATTAACTGTGTAAAATTTGTTCATGTGTATTCCGCTTCACATGTACAATCAAACAAGATGTAGAGTTACTTTAATATGCTTTAAATGATCAGTAAAATATATTTGAAGTTTCACTATATTAAATGTGTCCAAATTTCAATTTATTTTAACCAACAATCTCTGTGGGCAAGATAAACAGAAAGTGGGTTAAAGGATGCACTTTTTAAAAGAAGAAAAAAGGAATAAAAACTCATCATAGAAATCGGTTGCAACATTTTTATCAAATGTAATTGAGCACAGACAGAATCTATGTAAACTGGTCTGAGAGACAGCCATTTTAAGGGCAGCAAAAAAAGGTTTTTAGTTTTTTCTAAACTCATCCACATATATGGACATAATTTAAAAAACAAAAACAAAAACAAAAAACCCCCACACAAAAAGCAATAACAACTCATCCACCTATGTGGATAACTTTGTGTGTGGTTTTTTTTAAGTTATCTACATATGTGTACATGAACTTTAGCCACAAAACCCTTTCTTTTTCCCCTCTGCCATGTTTACTCCTTGGAAGTATAATTCCTTCCCCCTATAAACAGTCAAACAAAATGGCAGTCATTCAGAGTCCAGTTATGCTTGATTAAATGTATTGTGATCTGGCATTTTATATGATCAAGAGATTGTTTGAAATAGTAATTGAAACAAAGTACCATTTCCTAAATATAACTTTTAAATTTTTAATGTTCTGAAATGAATGAAGTTGATGCTAAAACATCTAAAATAGTGCTGTTTAATGTAAACCTTTTATCACAACACTCCTTCAGTTTTTTCTCCCTCTAGAACTTATTAAGGGGTGAAGAATCGAAACGGGGCACCTATAATTGTGGGATATGAACAATAAAGCAAAGTGGACCGTGGTATAGAAATTTAAGACGATTTCTATCCATATTCATACATAATGAGCTAGCACTTTGCTTTATTCTTCTTGTCCCCCATAATTACACGCGCCCCACTTCGATTCGTGTTGTGGAAAATGTATACTTTAACTCCTAAAATGAATAATACCGATGAATAATAATTTTAAACGAGGGGCAATGAATTTTTAAACATCACATCTCTATTTAGCCAGCCAGAAGCAGAATTCGTTTCTCTTTTAAGTGACTCCCATACGCTCCCCTTAATGGCCGATTCAATAGGTGTACAGAAACTAGAGATTTTTTAACAATCTCTAATTTTTCCACGTTTGGAGTAGGCTCTCCCCCCACAGGGCGATCTCCCCTCGAACCAGCAGCGCTGGACAGCTGCTGTAAAATGCAAAGACCCTCTAGCTCGCGCTCCCCGGTGCCTGTGTCCCCTTCCAGCTGGGCTCCGTGACCCTGTACCTGAATCGGGGTCCTGCCGAAGGCATTAACCGTATTGGGGTTCACTCCGGCTTCCAGCAGCAGCCGCACCCTCTGCCCGTCCCCCTGGGCCGCGGCGCTAGCCAGCAGGTCCCTCTCGCCGCCTGCAGCTACAGCCCCCGCCTGCATGCCTCAGGGCGCCAACTAGCCAGCTCGCCCCCCCCCCCCTCCACCGCCTTAACTAGCGGCTCTGCTGGCACCGCCCAGCGTGACAGTTTGCACCGCCTTCTTTTTCGTCCCAGGCCCCCATCCTCCAGGGGCACGTGCGTGCGGGGCTCCCCCCCCGCCCGCCCGCCCGCCCGCCCGCCATGGGTGTCTCTGCAGCCCCCCAGCCCCGGGATCGATCCCAGCAGTAACTTGGCTGTGGTCTCCCTTCTCTCGCGCGCCCCGCCGGCCCGCTGCACGCGCGCTCCCCCGCCCCCAGAGGAAGCCCTGCCATTGCGCGGGGAGGCGGCAGGGGCTGCGGCAGCGGCCGGGATTGGAAAGCAATCCCTGCCCGTCACAGGCGCCCTGGCGGGAGCTGTCCCCTCCCCCGCTAGCGCTGCGCGCCCTCCCAGGTTTCTCCGCCCTGATGCTTCGCCGCTTGCACACCCGCTCTCCTCTCCTTCCAGCCGCGGTGTGTGTGTCCCCCCCCCCGCGCCTGACCCAATCACCCCCGCACACGTGCATCCCCCCACGCGTCCCCCTCCACGGTGCTCACCCTCCTCCTGCTCAGGGTGATCTACAAGGAGGGGCGCCCTGTGGCTCGGCTCAGGCGCCGTCTCCTCTACCTTGCCCGTTACTTTGCCGCTTGACAGCGAATCCGGACCCAAGGCGATCTCCGCCGGTCAACATCTCTCTCCTGATCTCGCCAGAGCCACCCACGCGAGCTCCGGGGAGAAAACTTCTTTCGATCGGGGAGGTGGACCGAAAATAAGTGGGTGGGGTGGTAGGTGAGGGGCAGCGCCCTGCTCTCTTGGAGACACCCATCAGAGCGGTGGGGGAGGAGGGCAAGCCAGGGCAGGAGGGCGCAAGATAAAATAACTTGACTGCTGTCCTCCATCCATCCCACTGAGTCAACCACTCAGACTCCCTTGCTTGTGCGGTTACATTACCCCTCATCCGCACCTCCCAGGCACCTGTCCATCTCCTTCAGTCCCCCGCGCCCCCTTTGCCTGTAACCCCTCTTCTTGATCCCCTTCACCCGCTGTCTACAGCTAAAACTACCGTCTTGGCCACCCCCGGGTCTTTAACCATTTCACCCCCCGGGAGGCTCCCATTTGCACACCCGGTCTCGCCGGGTAAAGTAGATCAAGGAGGAGAGGACGCTCCCAAATTTCGCTGGCAGTCGTGGTTCCATTATACAGTACTGTCATGTGACTGTTGTGTTGTCTGCTAACCAGTGATGTTGCATGCATGGCACTGTGTGAGTAGATATTTCTAGTAAAGGTGCTCATGTTCCCAGGAAAATCCTGGATTCTTCACCAGCCGCGACCGGTACCTTAGATAGCGCAAAATAGACAGCACCTGTGCGCGAAAGGGCTGTCAAAGCACTTCCCGTTACAGTGCCATATTTTCGGGTCATGTCTAATGTTTGGAGAAATACTCAGGAAGTGGAGGCAGAAAATGTGAACAACGCCGATTTTATTCACTTTACAGCAAAAGTTTCCATGAACAGAGTCATCCGTAGAAGAAGTCTACGCGGTTTTATTTTAGATAACCCAGCATGATTGCACAATCCGAGCCCTCTAACTCGTAAATATAGAAGCAGATAATAAACTGCTAGACTTACCTGAATATGTATGTCCATTCCACCCCGGTGAAATTAACACAGCAGCGTATTTGTGCATGCCACTTAACCTACAAAGAACAATGCCAGCAAGTAATCGCCATGAGCAACATCCCAGCAAGTAAGTAATCGCCATGAAAGCAAAGACGAATAGTACCTTCTGAAGCTAGTAAGATTTTCCTGTTTTCACTAGAGGTGAAATCCACCTCCACTGTACGTGCCAAATTCTGCCCTGTAGAGCGCTATAAACTTATCACATTCAGTTACAACTCTATAACGCAGTCAAGAGTCTCATTACCATTTTGTGAGGTTCCAGCCCAGAAAATCTCACAGTCCACACTCCGTTTAAAATGAGGGTAGAACCCAACACTAAGCAGGTTAATGGTATCACTTCCTGGACTGTAGTTTCATATTCATATTGTTCTGTAAGGTGGAAAAGTCATGCTTGTAAAGCCGGTAGTCAATCTGAGATCACGTGAATTAGACGGTCAGACAAACGTGGTGTGTGTCCAGTGGGGGAAAAAGGGGGGGGGGGGAGGAGGAAGAAATGCCCCAGGCAATAAAGGCAGACTGCAGTGCGGAGCACGATGCGCGGTGGAAGGTTGATACTAGATCCTGGGATCCGTTTGAACAAACGTCACAGAGGCGGAAAGTATTGCCTCTCATCACTAATACCTACAGCCACCCAGAGACACACGATAAAAATGCCTTTATTTTGTATTCGCAGGCCAAAGCCCTGGCTATAGAGCTGTATGGGCACCCCTTTCCCCCCCACATACTTACTCCGTTGCTTCTTACACCAGTGATCCTATTGAGCTCAATGGCAACACAGCACGAAAACGCTGACAGAAGAACCACTGAATGGGGAAACAGGTATTCTGACATTTTGCCAGCATTTTATAATGTAAGGTTGTCCTTGAGGGGAACCCAATCGGCTCCGCCCATGGGCAGGTTAGGGTCTTGGGCGCCCTTGCACTTCTGCACAAGCAAGTAACCGTTCTGGATCCGGGCCTAGCATAGAAGGGAAAGAAATATCCTCTCCCTCAACCCCGCAGAAGCCCCTCTCTGGTGGGCTGCAGGGATATTTGGGTCATCTTTGTGTTCTTCCTTCACATACCCATGGAGGAAACCAGCAGAAGTTTAGATGCCAGAGTGCGTGTTAACTTATGTTAGCCTCCCCGAGGGGTGGAGTGCCCCTGTAGGGGTTGTGGCAGGGCACGAGGCAGGCTGCTTTACAACAGAGTGGGGGCAGAGGGCCCCTGTGTGAACATGCCCGCACTCCATGCCCCCACTCCGAAAAGAAGGAATGATTAAAAACGGCTGTTTTCAGTTTGCTGAGGCCGATCTTGCAACGTAAGCGTGTCTGGACTGATCACTGCGCCTATCTGGAGCTCCATACTCTAGTCGGTGAAAATCTTGGACCCCGCTCCCCAGACAATGGGAGTTTTGCCAGGACTTCTATTGCGGCCAGGATTTCATTCATAGACTCCAACGGGGCTCCCCATGGGCGCAGGGGTCGATCTATGCACAAGGCATGGCAGGATCGGGGCCTGGGCTTCGTAGGTGAGTGGGAAATAGAGCCTGTGTCAGGGGCGACGAAGCACTTAGTCACTATAGTGTTTTTGCTGAAACTGACTAACACGGCTACCACTCTGAAACCTCATTATGTGTGTGTCCTGCGTCCCTTTTTACACATTCTGAAATGCCTCCCTGCTGGTAAGGCACCCGCTCCTCGTACCGGCACGTCGTAAGCCTACATCTGAAGCCTCCTCGTAAGACACGGAAGTATTCCGTTTGGATTTGACAATCTTGCGGGTAGCTTTTTAAACATTACAGAGAGAATTATATTGTTTACCCCTCCCCGCCCCACACACCTCAGCAAACCTCCTTTCAGAGGGTTTTAATTCCATCCAGGACACATTCCAGTGTCACATTTAAGATCACTTGACGGGAGAGGTGGAAGCTGTGAGTTGGTGGCTCAGTAATATCAAATAAATGCATCCCTATTAACTAGTATTTATTCTCTTGCCCCCTCCCTTCACCTCCAGGCTGTAACCAAATCTTGTGATTTCTTTCTCCATAGGGGTGTGTGTGTGTGTGTGTAAAATCTCCTGTGGAAAAAGAAATTACATATTTATATATAACTTCTTGTTTTTCCCCAAACCTGAAATACTTGTCCACATCTTAATAATTGAGGACCAGAGCTAAAGTTCACTGAAGTCAATGGAAATTTTTCCACTCACTTCAATGGACTTTGGATCAAGCCTACACCACATCACTAGAACTAGTTCCTCTTTAGCCTTCCCAGTAACCTCACCGTACCCCCCTTCAGTCTATCCTGTAGGTAACTTGCTGCCTTGTGACACTTGCTGTGGACTGTTCTGAAGGAGGGTGTTTTTTGTGAAATTCACAAGAAATGTATCACTGTAAACGGCATGTGATCAGAGAATTTTGTGCTGCAAGAAGTTTGTTCCATCTAGTAGCTATTCACAGAGGAGGGAAGAAATAGTGATTGAGTCAAGCCATCAGGGACATGCTGAGGATAGTACTGATGACAAAACACAGCTCTTATATCAGTTGTAGTAAAGAGAAAAAACAGCAGGAGGTAGAGGCCAAATGTTTGGAAATCAAGAGGTAGTTCAGGTTTTTGAGAGGCCTATGTGCTTTCACTGTACCTGGAAAGTATCTTTCTGGTTTTTTTCCCCCTGGGTGAAATCCACTCCTACGAAGAAGGCCATCAGGAGGCCTAGGCACCACAGAAACCTTGCTTAGGCCTTGTGTAGTTCCTCTACTTTTCACCTTCTGATAGGAGAACTAGTGCACAGAATGACCTGAAGGTGATGTTGTTCTCCCATAGAAACAGTGCTTCAAAGTTACAAAATTGCACTTCCTTCCCCCCCCCACCCATCTTACCAAGATCTAAATTAATAATACCAAATACCAAAACCACACAGCTCTGAAGTACTTTAAAAATTATTTTGCCAGAACAAGAATATTTAGGAACAAGTTACAAGGTGGCGAAATTGTAGCAGAGATTTAGATTTTCACATTTTAAACTACCCACCTAAAATGGTGTTATGCTCAGAAAGTGACTGTAAAAACAAAACTACCTTATTCAAAGCATCTGCTTCCTGAGTCAGATACTGAGTCAAATGACTCCTTGGTTTACTGGGGGGGGAATAAGGCTTGGAACCTGCAAAAATGGGAGCAGCCACATTGAAGGAATTATACACGAGCATAAAATTATTCACGTGAAAAAGGAATTTTCAGGGTCCTGGGCTTTGTTTGTACTCCTGGTATCTCTGCAGGGACAATGGGCAGAATTCTGATCACATTCCTACCTTGAATTTTCGCTAGTAAC